GTTTTGATTTATTTAATTCACGGGGACGATTGTTGAGAAAGCGTAAACTTTTTTTACATTACCGAGATATCCAGAAGATCGAACTTTTTTATAGATATCGCTCGCGCACGCGCGATCCACCTCGGGACGAGCGACTTTCGACAACGATGGACCGTGATGGAATAATTTTTCATATATTCTCTATATATTTATTACTAACTCGAGAAAAGAAAAGAAAAGAGAATAATTAAAAGAGAAACAACGCGGAACCGTTTTTCTTCTTCTTCTTCCTTCTTCTTTTCGTTCTTGTCTCTTCATTGTCGTGCAATCTTTACCAATTCGCGTGTTTCCCTCACGAGAGCAACTAATACGCATTTCGAGTTACAAAACACAATGGTTTTTTCGAAGGGTATCACGGATGTGCAATCGCTGTACACACGCTTGACAGAGATACTGATATGTATTCTCACTCAGCACGTCTACAAAACTGTCCAGGCAAATCGAATCTCCATATCTTTTACTTATTTATTTTATTTTTATAGGTTAACTGTTTTTAAAATAGGGTCAATTGAATAGATAGAAAAGAAAACTTGTCTTACCATTTATTCTTTAAAGAAAATACTTATATTATTTTGTTTGTAAAAAATGAAAAGGAGAGATGGATATCGAATTGCTTGGCAATTGCATCCTACCAGGGTGCGCGCACATCACCCGGTGCCATTACAGTCTTTGCCATTTTTGACGTTCACTGCAGTTCTAACGAATGCTAGAGTGCTGTAAGATATACGGCTTTAGAGGGTTATGCGCATCTTTCTCCCACCATATCTGTGTGTGTGTGTATATATATATATATATATATAGACATGCATACACACACACACACATACACACAGATATACAGAGTGTCCGTACTTTTTTCAGCAAAACAATGCTAGCACATTTTATGAATAAAAATAAAACAAAAATGTCATATAAACATAGCCTCAAAAATGTTTTATTCAAAAATTATAACAAAAATATGAAATAACAATAGACTGATTTTCGTTCGATACAGCATGAGAACAGATTGGCGATATTTATCACGCCACTAGATTTATACTTATGGGGAACAATAAAGGAAAAGGTTTATCAGACAAAAGTTAATACACATAAGGAATTAATGCAAAGAATTTGTGATGTATTCACCGAAATTAAAGAAAATCTATCAGAAATTCGCAATGTAATAAATTCAATTTTGATAGATGTCAGTCTTGTATTTATAAGAACGGATCACATATTGAAATGGAATTAAAGTAGGTAAATACTATAGGTAAGTCTGTTCTGAAGCTGCATCGAACGAAAACTAATCTGTTGTTACCTCGTATTTTTGTTATAATTTTTCAATAAAGCATTCTTGAGGCTATGTTTATACGACATTTTTCTCTGGATTTTACTCGTAGAATATGCTAGCATCGTTTCACTGAAAAAAGTGGGGACACCCTACATATTCTTTGTGAAACCAGGATTGTATAAAGCGAACTCGAGGATTCTGTCTTTTTTTTTTATTTTTCAATGATTTCCTATTTTCAAATTAGTAATTATTAAATCTTAATAAACTGTGCTATTAACGACCATTTTTACCTGTATCATTAATTAAATTGAAAGGAAAATTATTGGAAACAGATAGTAGAGTCCTCTATTGCGCCTCGAGAATCCGATCCTTTTACGATTTTATGCAACGCCGAATGCATGTGACGTACACACTCTAGGATTCAACTTTCTCTGTCACTTATGTGTATATATATGTATATATTTTTATACATGTATGCATATATATAACGATGCCAAGTAGCTGCTTGAAAAACTGCCAAACTGCCAAACGATTTGTATACAAGGATTTCAATTATTATTTTTAAAAATTCAAATTTTCTCTCGTATTGAACGATACCACATACTTTTTATTTTATTTTCAGAAGCCTCGATCGTGGCATGTTACATGCATGATAGACTCGTAGAGTATTACTATTCTTATTCTTAATAAATAATAATAATCAGATCCAGTTAGAATCATGGGGAACGAACGAGGCGGTTCACGTACTCTTTTTTTTTTTTTTTCTTATTTCCTGTCTCTATCGATCGATTGGGTCGAATTGATCGCTTGATGGCATTCCCACAGTTAATCAGGCAGCTCGTTACCATTACAACTGTATCATCAAACGTCGCGTCGATGAACCACGATTGCGGCCGACCAAAATGCCATTACATGAAACTCGATTCTTGACTAGTGGCTGCAGACAATTGAAACTCAGTTACTCTGACTTTTCATTCGTATACAGGGTGTTTCGATAGTTTTAGACAAATTTTTTTCAACATTTCCGAACTACACGGAGAAAAAATTACAGGAAGTTAGAGATTAGGTCACTAGATTTTTTTTGAATTTTTGTTCTTTGATTTTATATGTAATTTTCTTCCGTAGAATTTCATAGTGATGGATTTGCCTATTTTCCAAGCACAATGGAGGGAGAATGCACGCGTGCCACGGACTGCTTACCTATTTACTCTGATTTATTATTCTCCGCTCGTGTCCCCTTGGAGTCCCCTGGCGCATAACCGATAATTTAAACTTTGATGCTCTCCCACCGGAGCCAGACACTGTAATTACGCTTAAAGATAGAGAGAGAGAGGGGTGGGGGCAGAGGAGGGAAGAGAGAGAGAGAGAACGGAGTTTCTAAGTCGGCCAATTCGAGCCGAAAAGTACCACGATAACGTGTTCGGACTTTTCATTAGAGAAAACCAGCCTTGGAAATACCGTCACGCCGTCATATGCCATAACTTTACTGGCAAGTTGTTCGACCAATCGACAAACTTTATGTATCGTCATGAAATCACATTTCAGTCTTGAAATTTTATTATGAGTTTCGTATGGATTTTTTATTTACTAAAAGAATTAAATTTTAAGTTGCTTATCGTTTTTTTTCGTTTTGTTAAAACTTGGATTGGATTATATTCTCGAAAGAAGATTTAAGAAAAGTTAGGTCATATTTTTGAACTGTTTGAAGAAAAAATAAAATGGATTTTGGCCACAATCAGTTCATCGACGCCGCCATGGTTTCCCGTATGTTTTACCGGCATCTTATCACCACTGAGAATACTTTCTTTCGAATCCCGTAGGCACACCAAAGTAGGTTGCTCGTGAACACACCGCTGGAGCTGTCTCCTTTTTTCTAGCCTCAGTAGAACGAACTCATATTTTGCCAGATTAAAAAAAATAAGAAATTCACCCCCTCCAAAAACAAAAAAAAAGATATGACGCCGAATGACTGTGAATAATAATGATGATGATGATGATTATGATTATGATTATGATTATGATTATGATGATGATGGTGATGGTGATGGTGATGATGATGATGATGATGATTGAGGAAAAAGTTTCATGGTACCTCCCCTTCCACACCACCTGCCTAAAAAAATTCAAAAGTGAAACTTTTGATAATATAAAAAAAATTATTACTCTCTTACCCACGACTTGTATACACCATGTAATCTTATTATCCCCCATTCATTTACTTGATCGCCTAGTGAAACTGACCTTTTAATCCCCCAGTAATGTAAATAGACAACAAGATGTGTCGTTAATGGAACTAAACACATGCGTTTTTTTGTTTTCTTTTCCACTTTTTCTATTCAGGTTTCGCAGGGAGAGACACACTGCCGACGTGGAGAAAGGGGATGGAAAGGATGGAAAGGAGGGTAAAGAGGGTGAGTCGTCACACACCAGGAAACTCTCCACCACGGAGGAGAACACTGCCGTCAAAGGACGACCTGGCAAGTGGGGACGACTTTTAGGTAATTCAACAGAATTAATTTTTTATTTAGAAAACGAAATTTTACTGTACAATTTTACCACAGTCAGATAAAGTTAATTTTTAACCATAACAATTCGTTTTCTACAGGTAGCTCCAGCCTGGACTCAGGAAGCGAGACAGGTACAGGCGTGGACACGTTCAAAAGATCCCTGAGCGCGCGGGATGCGCGACCCAGCTCCAGCGCAAGTAGTAATAAAGTGTTCCCCAAGTTTGGTAAGCTCACGGGTACCATTGAGGAGTCTGGCGACACAGAGATCGCGAAAGAAACGCAACAGCAGCAACAACAGAGTACCACAGACTCGAAACAGTTACAGCTACGACGTCTGGAGAGCTATGACGATGGACTGATCACCACACAGCCAAGCCATGATCGAGAAATCCTGGCTGCGGTATTGGAAGTGAAGGTGAAGTTCAATGTTCAGGGCAGAAAAACATTCCAATAACACTAATAAAGTGCCAGGAGTGTGTTAAGCCATATTAAAAGGTTGCAATGAAAAAGTTATAATATTATTGCGTATTCCAAGCACTACTGTAATTATTCTTCTTTTTATTGAAGGTGGATTTGAAGCTAGAAGTGCAACGAGTAAACCAGAGACTGGCCAAGATAGAGGACATGCTGCAGACCCTAATGAACAGGCTGCCAGTAGCCAGTCCCCAACAGCAGAAGAATTCCAATAACTTTTCAACAGGAGGAAGTGGTGGGCCCTCTCAAAATCAATCAAACAATCAGCCACAAAGTTCTTCAAGCTGTCAACAAGGCACCCAAGCCACGCAAACTTCTGGAGGAAGTGGAATTGGTGAACAGAAAGTATCCATAGCCACCACATCCACATCAACAGGAGGCAGTGAAGGGTATAGAGAACAAGGAACCATCACAGAGCGTAGTTCCAAGCCCCAGGAACACCATCATCATCACCATCACCATCATCAGTCTCAGCAGTCTGATAGATTGAAAGATAGCAGCGATTACAAGAGTTCTTCAAGGGAGGTGAGCAAAGAATTATTGGAGAGACTAGCTCAAGCGACCACTTCAAGGGGAGATGACACTACACCACTTGGACCTTTAATTCTGAGGAAAAGAAGAAGTAAATCAAGAAATAAAGGAGCTGCACCATTAGCACCATTAGCTACACAGCCTATGAGTCCATCAGAGGCGACAGAAACCACACAGATGCTGGAGTGCACCGATGATAGGGAGCAGAGCACCACTGCTGCAGAAAGAAGTGAGAGGTCTGATAGGAAGAGGCCTCCACCTAGGCCTAGGGAGTATTTGTGAAAGTTCTTGCGGCTCTGGGCGGTCGCCTCGAGGTTACTGTGTTGACAAGAGTCGCTGGATACTTCTAGCGTTCTGTGGAATATTTTGTTGAAGGTAAAATTGGAAGTTATCAAGTGTTCTTTAAATTTTATGAGTCTACAGAACTGTTGGTTCAATTGGAATTGTGCAGGAGGAAAAGTAAGCAATTTTAGAAATTATGTGAATCATGTGTTACTTGAGGAAGAAGAATGTAGGTTATATCAGGAGGAGATTATTTTTAAAATAATTGGAAAGATTGTGCAGGTTATGTGTTTGAAAAGAAAAGGAAAAATATGAGTTGTTAAAGTGGAAAAAGGTTATATTAAAGTTGTTAGAAATTGTGATCGAAGGAAGTTGTTCAAAATGGTGGTTAGATTTCAACGAAGTGACACTCGATGTAATTTCCGTAAGATTTCGCCGCATATAGGACATGCCGCATTTCCGCTAACCGCTTCGCGTCTGGTCTTCAGCGAGCTTCGCCGAGGGTCGTCGGTGCGAAGAACTAACCTAACCTTGAAGAAAATATTAGTAAAGCACACAAAGAGGGAGATAAAATATTAAAAGAAAATGGGACACTCGTACCGACGAAACGGTTCCGCTACAACTCATTACAACTTGGCATATTTTTGCATGGCCGCGAACACGCGATTTAAACGAGAAACCAAAGAGAAATAAAAAAGAAAAAAATGAAAAATCTATACTAAAAAAGTATATCGAATTATATACCGCTTGCGACGGCTTCTTCGAGACATCGAACGTTAAAAAAAGAAAAGACGAGCGAATGAAAAACTATAATTCAGAGAAAAAAAAATACGTTCTATGCGTAAGGTACACAAACAAACAAACAAACAAACAAACAAACACACACACACACACACACTGTCACCGTAGGTTTACACGCATCTTTAGGAGATCTCAGCTAGACTTGCGGAGGTGCGCGATATATATTAAGGTAACTGCAATAACAAAAATAAATGAAGTGACAAAGTACGATCAAACGAAACAAAAGAGTGTAACAGAGGGAATAATTAGATGGAGAGGAAACTGAGAAGGTTTCGACGTGATTTTATATAAAAAAAATATTCTCAAAGCAATCGGAGGATCATTTATTACATTCTTAATTAATTAACGTATTTAATATCTTAGAGAAAGATATTTATTTCTGTTTTTTTTTTAAATATATTTCTTGTACTTAATGACATTTTTGCTTCGGTTATACGTATAAATATTCAATAGTATTGGTTAACGAACGAGTTGAGGTTATGTATGAGTGAATAGACAGTGAATGTGTTAATAAATAAAAAATATTAAAAATTATAATTGTCCAATGAACGATAATAAACGATCCTTAAATTGCTTTAAAATTAATTCTGGTTGACTCAGAATATGAAAAAATCATTAAGGACTCAGGATAATAGTGGTGGGGATGGTAATGTGATACAAAAGTTCTGTTTACGGTTTCAAGGAAGTCAAGCTCTCCGAGATTTAAGGTGAAAGGTGTCGAGTCGTTTATCGTTGCTTCGCTACCACTACACTGTGGTGCCGTGTTATCTGTTCTTTTTTCTATTTATATTATATTCGACAGCTTTCGAGAAGAGGGATTCGCGACTGCGCGAACGATGATCGATGGCTTTTCAATAGTTCCGTCTCAGTGAACAAGCGTATGTGTGTGCATATGCTGCGTGTGAGTGTACGTGTGATTGAAATCGGTTGCGAGTGTCGAGTAACTTGAGAAAATTCGTCGGTGTTCTTCGCTATAGACGAAGATCCCACCGAAGACGATCTTGGGGAGACTCTTTCTAAGGTTTTCATATTTCAATAATTTAAACTACAACTTAAAATTTCCTATTTAATTCTATGAAATTTGTTTAAGTAATACTTGGTAATATACACTTTTCTTTGTTAATTTAATATATTCTTGTTTAAGAAATGAGGTTATGAAAATAGAAGAAATTGAAAAGAAAGTTGAGGAGGGTAGAAATATAGAAAATTGAGAGTTTTAATATTTATAGCGGTTCTTTTGTTTATTTATAAAAGTTTTTACGTAATATTTTTCAATTTTTAATAATTCTACATTTATGAAAACCACTACTTGAAGTGTTCCCTTGGTCTGTCCTCGTGTCGTGTTTTTGTAAGTACTCTCCCTTCAGAAAGTATTCTTACTAAACCCTCTTGAGAAGATTGAAGAATAATTTTTGGACCTTTGCCCGTTTAAACGTCTCAAAAAGTATCAGAAGTGTAAATTGTTGAAGTTATTCAATGTACACCAAAAACTAACTCTCATAGGTGCCTAGAAGCTACCAATAAAGGTTACCTTTATTTTTTTAAGCGTGTTAACCAATACATTTCTCCTTGTTGCCCTAACCTTTACATTGGAGTTTGAAAACAATGATTAAAGACGTTAAAACCGATAATGGTCCTCAAAAAATTCTATAAATAAATTAATAAGTTGTTAAAAGTCAATTCGGCCACACCTCGAATGGCTGCGTTTTCACTGCAAGAAATCGCATGAAAATTAATAGAAAAAAGGGAAAAATATATAAAAAATTCTGCTCGCGAAATCGAAGAAGCTCGAATGTTTCTCGCGCAACTTCAAGTGACAATGACGGAAGCTTGATGATTCTGTGCACTTTGTTACATCGCAAAACATGACCTAATCGCGCGTTCACATGGCATTCGCGGAAGCCAAACAGCAATATTAGGTGTATATATATCTTGTAAGTACGACGTGTATATATATTCGTACATATACATATAATATGTATGTATATATATATGTATATAGAAAAGAGAAGGAAATGATTAAAGTGACGCGTGCGTTCATGGCAGCGTGTTTGCAACGAGATGTTCGAAACAAGATAATTAAAAGAACACGCGATTATTATTCTTTCCTTTTCGTCTATTCTTTCTCGGCTTCTGGCGCAGCTTCTCTATCGAGCAATGTAATTCTATTTAACTACGAGAATATGCGTATGCTGTTAGCCAAAATTTTGGAATCATTATGCATTTAAAAAAAGGCAAAAATCATTAGGGAAACGTTAAAAATGTTAGGTTAGTTTAAAGAAAGCGAAAAAAGTATAAAAATAAGAATTGTAATTTTTAATTTGTTATTATAGATGAATTTTAATTCATCTTAATAAAACCTTATTCAGTGCTATTATGCGAATGATTTCACAGTTTTAGCCCACAGTGTATACATACATGTACAACAATACGTTACATTTCTGTTGCTGCTGCCTCGAGAAAGAAATAACACGTTGAATAACACAATTCTGAAGGACAATCAAAGATGGAAAGTACTGATCTCACGAGTAGAGAGAGAACAAAAAATTGCAATTAATCGAATAATAGGTGTATATTTCCGTTAGCTTAAGCCGACATATAGACGACGCGACGCGAATTGAGGAGCTTTGAGGGTGTATCTCTTTTTCCACGCTGCGATTCCCTGTAAATAATCGATATAGCAGAGTCTCCACGATCAATATTAAACATAGCTGACCCCTGACATCATGTATCTTCTTACTTTTCAGCTTTCTTCGACTACCATTCTAAATTGCATTATAAATAACATTTAATATCTTTCTTTTCAATATAATTATTGATGAATAAATAAAAACTGATATTTTCCTTAGTATATGTAAGAGAATTTAGATTTAAAAGGAACATGGATCATGGAGACCCGAGCATACGATCGCACTTTGCCCGACAACGATTGAATATAACCAAAAAAGTTCCCAAGAAATAAAAAAAAATCAATGGGAACACGTGCAAACGCGCTGACATGAATATTTATGCGTGTAAATAATATAAATACTAAATAGGAGCGAATAAAATGGCGGAATGAATGTGCGGGTATGTGTGCATGAGAAAAGAAGAGAGAAGAGCGTACAGGAAAGAAGCAAACAAGAGAGAGGAAGCAAAATAAAACATAGTTCTAACTTCACGATGTTACGATGAGAGGGGAAACGAAGTAAAAAAAAAGAAACTTTGAATTATCGAACAGTTACGAGGACTTTGTTGAATTAGGTTTTAGCGACAGAGACGATATAGCTGGCTCTATCGTAGTTTCTATACACTCTAAAGAAAGAAAAAAAAATATTAACGAAATGCGAAAGTTTAAAAACAATGCCGTTGAAAAACGTTTCTAATAGCGTCGATCGAGTTATTAAATCGTGAAGGTGCGCCTGCTCCTTTTTAAACGCTGCATATTCGGGCGATCGACCTGCGATTTCAAGCTCATTCGCCATTTGGAAATATAACTATGACGTTCGCAACTATATTTGAAATATTTAATTTGGAGAAAATATCTCGTCTCCAAAAAATTCTTTTTAATTTCTTAATACTGTTAAATACCACCATTTGTACCACCTAAGATGGTGAGCTTTTCATACCGAATTTTCTCTCATGAATCACCAATTAACACACTGCAACCTCTGAATAGGAATTTTAAAATGAAAAAAGTTGAATGGAACTGGCATCTAAGGCGACCTTGGAATCGCACGGAGATCCACTTGCTCTGTTCGCTATCTGAGAGCTTCTCTTCTTACGCACGTGTCCTTGTCCCTATCGAACGGCTCCATTGGTAATCGCAAGCCACCCATCGTACATTCCATTGAATTGTTGCATCGAAAATATCGAAGACTGACGACGCTGCAGCTCCTAGAAAACCCTCAGTACTTTCCTCGCACCAACTCACCTACTCATATGCATCTTTCGCCATATTATTCCCAGAAAACCTTTTCATTTTCTTCATTTACATTTTAGTTGAGCCACACACCGCTAAAGTATTCCCAAACTTAGAAACATTTCATTAAACAGTTTGCAACGACACAGCTTCCAAGCGAGTTAAGCTTAAACGAAGATAATAATGAAGCTCTGAAACTTCGAGGTGGACGTATCCGGCTTGCCGTCCGCCATATTGAAGCCGTTCGATTACGTGAGACAATGTGTTTCGACGTGGATCGCTCCGCGCCCTCTGATAATGCAACGACGAACCTCATCATGTTTTTAACCAGGAAAACGACACGCTCGTCCACAGAGCGTTTTATGGATCGATTTCGAGCACGATTGTTGTATGCGTCGAAGCCTGAACGCCGACAAGGCGGGTCGTTGTCGGGTGTGGTGCCGTGGGAAAACGGGCAACACGACGAAAGGAGAAATGATAAACATGTGATATTACGATTTTTTATATATATCAGCTACTTTGCAATAACGAATTAATCGCCGTGCTCGAGTGGGTAGGCGTCGCGATGTCAGTCGTCGTCTTTAATATCACAGATGAATTTATTGTGAGTTTATTTCTTTGTGAGATTTCTGCTCGTTTGTTTCTAAACGCAGTGTGAAAATTTGGTTGGAAACGAGTGGAAACCATGTTGTTTTTTCTTTTGTAATCTGACCTCTTAATCCTTTCTTTTTTATTTATTTTTTTTTTTCTTTTTTTGTTAATTTTCGTTTTT